CCTGGGCATGTAAGAGAAGTCAGAGGGTTTAGTTTGGCTAATATTGAGGTTGTTATGAATTGACAGTCTCACTTTTTATTTTCCTGCTTTGGCTGACAGCTCAACAGAAAGTCCTTTTCGAAAGCCCCAGCCTGATTTCACTATCGGCCACTTAACCACGATATTAATTCTTTGAGTTGCTTAGCTTTTAAGATTTTCAATTACTGTATGCATTGGAAAAGAGCTGTGTGGCCGAATCAGAACTGTTTACTAAATAGCACTCATCTTTGAGTTGCTGGAGTCCCAGGTATTGGAAATGCCCTCCCCCCCCCCCTTTACCATATAAAAACATGATTGGTTACACCTCATGGTATTTTGCCATAGGAAATGACGTTACCAGCATGTTCTGGATTCCAAAAAAGTAATTTCTAAGAGCCTGGATAAAAATTCACCTGACACAGGACACTTGACAGAATTGCCTGTGGCTGACACTTTGCATTGTAAAAGTTTTCAGTGGGGGCGTTCAAGTAAAGAAAAAGCTAGACCTTGGAAGTCCCCTCTGCTCAGTCTGATACTGCAGGGCTGGTGACTTTTGCCACAGGTTATAGCTTTGGAGTAGCTTTACTGTAAGAGCACCTTATATTTCATTCAGTTTTCTTAAAATTTAAGTACCAGGTTTGTGACATGCTTTCTTAAATACTGAAACTACATGTTCTCAGGGTAAAAATGCACCTAGTCAGAATTTCTCCTTTGAAGAATTTTTTTATGTGAGTTCAAAATTGCCTTCTAAATTGAAAACATGGCTTTCCTACTTAGTATTAAGAGCTTCTGTTTCAAATGAAGGGCAAATTTTATTGACCAGGTGTCGACATCTGCAGTTGTCAGGCACATTGCATATAGCAAAGTAAAGTATTTGTGGTTGATGTTTCTCATTCTTGTAGCTGGAGGATGTTATTGGAGCTGTCTTTGCTGTAGCTGTTAGACTGGGGGCATTTGGGTGAGGGTGTGGCTGGAGGAAGGTCTTCTTCTGAGCATTCCAGGTGTACTTGGAAGACAATTCGAGTGGGTCTCCTTGCCACTAGTCTGTCCCCTGGGTGACTGGGAAGAACTAAGCCAGCTGGTGCTCTGGGAAATAAATACCTTACTCTGCCTGAGCTGCCACCACCACTAGGGCTGCCATGCCAGAGCTGATCAGCTGGGGCCCCTTCTTCTCCTCTGGTCTTCTCCTGTGGCATAAAACCGAATGTGTTAGTCACTAATGTTAGGCTAGTGATGAGTTTAGGAGGGGTCTCCCGTCCCCTAAAGAAGATACTGTACTTTTCACTTGAGAGGTAAGCTGTGAAATTTATGGGGAACAATGCACTACATTTATAGATTAAAATTACTACTCTTTGCAGACACAGGCCCTGCAAGGAGATTCGCCTACCTGTCCTCACAGGTGAGCTGACCAGTGCCGGGGACACCATTCCCCTCCTCTCCTGGATCTCAGAGCCTTTTAAAATATTCCAAACAGAATTTGGGCCGTTATCTTATTTTATCACTATATACTACTGCATACATACTGCCTGTGTTTAACTGCAGAATGAACATTAGCCTTTCATTTTAAGTTTGTAGATTCAAGGAAGAATTGTATTTGTGGCCAGGAGTGGTAACGTGTGTAAGAAAGGAAAATTGAAAGTTGAAGCCAGCCTGGGCAGCTTACTTAGTGAGGCCCTGTCTCAGTAAAAAAAAAAATTTCAAAAGGCTGGGGATGCAGCTTAGTGTGAAGGTCCTGGGTTCAACCCCCAGTACCGTCAGAAAAGAAGCATAATTGCTTTTCAGAAACCAAACTGCTCAGTGATAGAGCACTTGCCTAGTGTGCACCCAGCCCTGGGTTCAGCCCCAGCACCAAAGAGACAAAACCATTCTTTAACAACAACAACAACAAAAAAATAGATAAGGGAGGGTGATCAGGGGGATATGATCAAAATATGCTAAATGCATGCAAGAAAATTGCTACAATGGAACCCAGTATTTTTTAAAGTTAATATGTACTAATAAATGAAAAGCAGATAGTGATATAGGTGCAATGTTAGAATAGCCCAGCCCTACCAGCCTCCTCTGCAAAATGTGATTTATGTTGTACAATACTATTTTGTAATAGGTTTTTGAAATGACATCCAAGTACAGTTGATGTCATGTTTACTAACCTAGAGCTGTAGCCAGCAAATTACAGTATATGCTGAGCCTGACCTGAACCATGCTGTGGTTAATCCAACACTCCCAACTCTTACGTGCTCTCTGAAGACAAGACCAGGGTCTCCGTTGATTCTGCCCTTCTTGCATATTTCACAGGGTCTGGTCTGTTGGTTATCTGCAGCAGAAACATTTAAGGGCTTTAAGATTGCACCCTCCTGGACACTCCCACTGGCAGAGGCTCAGCTCCAGACCTCCTAGTGGATCTGTTTACATCTGTGTATTTATTTGAGTTAACTAGCAGTTAGCTACTCGGCTTCTCTTCCCATAGAAGAAAGAGCCCATCTGCTTACCTCCTTCCCCAAAAACCAGCAGGGCATTTATCTCTAAGATGAACAAGTTAAGTTTGACTACCAGGGACCTGTAGTATGCTCCAAGCTGCTGGCTGGGTTGCTGTGTTCCCTAGGTATGAGTTCTGATAAGCCAACTTCTGACAGGGACTGGCTCCTTTAATAATGGTGCTTTGAGTTGTCAGTCCAAGTGTGAACCAGACAGAATCTTCTAAGTGAGGGTGTTAGGTCGAATTCAGCAGGCCTCGGGGAATTAACCCAGGGAGTTGTTTTTGTTTGGCACTGTGAGAAGTATGAAGTGTACTTCCAAGTACTCCTGTCCGGAAGAAACCTGGCAGTTGATTAAAATTCAGCTTTTCATTCACAAGATTGTGCACTCTGTGGGAGCAGACCTCAGACCCAAAACACCTCCTAGAGTCCCACAGGTATTTGTATTGAGAAAATCAGCAAATTTCTCCATTTATTTACATTGGGTAACTTCGCTGACAATTTTTGCCACTCCACCAGCTTGAAACAAAGGCAATCTATATTTCAGTGACTTTCTTTTGGTAATCAATGATTTCTTCGCTTCTTACTCCAGGGTTGAAGGCAGATTTCTCTCTCAGCAGTGGCCTGGGGAGAATTGCATGGGATCCCAGTGTAGTGGGCACCAACTGAAGATGCCATCTTTGCCTTTAACTTTGTGAAAAGCATCTAAGTTGGGGGGAAGAGTGCCTGGTTACTAATAAAAGATGAATGATTGTGTACCTGTGATAGTTAATTCTTGAAGGACTGAAAACCTAGGAAAAATTAGAGAACTGTGACATCATTATCACCTGGCATTGTATCTACCCTGAAATCTTGTTTTCTGCCAGTGGTTTAAAATGCAATTTTAATAGACTTTACAGGTTAACATTAGAAATATTTGTGTGACAAGGATATGACCAAAGCAATTTTTTATCATTGCAAGTAGATTGAAAAGCCATGCCTGACTTGCCCTAAAGGCTCCCCAAACCAGCCTCCCTCTTCTTTACCCAGGATGCCTTTAGCAGCTGCCCTCCGGGTTATTCAGAGTGCAGGGGACTCGGGGAGGTCTTTGTGTCCCCACCCTCCACTCTCAGGGCTCTGGGGTACCTGCCTCACTAAAGCCCTAAGGCTTCATGGGATCATTCCTAAATGTATTTGAGTTGGGGCTGAGAGGCCGAGAAAATGGGACTAGGGTTTTGAGAAAAATTGGCCAGAACTTTGATGTGTTCACTTTAGCATGCTTTTAGAGAGCTGTTATTTGGTAACAGCTCTGTGGACCTTTTACAGAAATGTAAAACAGGAAGCTGTATTCCGTGTTCTTGTGAAATCTGGGCAGCATAGGTGTTCACATACTTTTTGGTAGTTAAAGCGCAGCTCGTGTGTTTAGTTGCCAGTGCCTTGTACGTGCTTTCCCAGTGAGAGAACAGAAGTGGAACATGAGTAGCTGTTGGAATCCCAGAGTCTTATCTCTTCCTGCACACATTACCACACTGGTCCCGTTCTCCTCTGAGTGCGATGCTTTTCCTTGTAGGTGAATATTGTTTTCCTACTGTAGGATGGGACCTTTGAAGACTCATGGTTTTGTTTTTCATGTTTGGTTGTCATGTGTCTTTTAATAGTTCATTAGCCAGTGGATGAATGTAATGGATGTGAATGTTAGCGGCAACTTAATGAAAGGGCCAACCGCCCTCTTTTCTCTCCTTTCCAAAAAGCCTTTGCTCTTAGGCCCAGAACATTTCCTCTCCCCGTGTGGTGTTTGCAGACTTAAACCCATCTTTACTGGCTGCATTAATATTGAAACAAAACATGCAATTATGCTTTCATGTGGCCCTGGGTAGCAGGAAGATTGGCTGTTTGTATCACCAAACCTACTTCCATAGAAGCCAACTCAAACTCGTCAGATTTCTCAGCTTTCTTATTTTGGAAGGGACAACTATTTTATATCATACTCCTAGGTAGTGAAGGGCATTTTCCTAGGGACTTTTACTTGTCAAAAGATTAAAATGGTTATTTTACTGACAAACTAAATTTTTAATTTCTCATATGATTCAAGTCTCTATCTCCCTCACTCCCTCTCTTCTGTGCTAGGGATGGGGCCCAGGGCCTTGTGCATGCTAGCCTAGGCAAGCGTGCTGCCACTGAGCTACTCCCCAGCCCTTGAGTGCATTTCTTGGGTGATGTTCATTGTACCATTTTTCTTGGAGTCCACTTGAAATGCAAGTGTGTATAAATGGGACAGGATGTTTTTAATTCTTGCAGTTCTGAACTTCCAGTTCTGTAAAAGGAAATTAATCTATATCCCTATTCTTTGGCCAGAAGTATACTCTGCCACTGTCATCTTTAATGCATGATTGTAGTTGTTGAGGTCTAGGAGCTTCCAGAATGAGAGCGTCTGTGGGTGTTGGGCCAGCATCTAGGCCCATACCTGTGGAACACTTTTAGTTCTGGGTGGACCGCAGGGTGACTTCTCTTCTGTTTCTTTCCACACAGCTTCCATGCGGCAGTCTCAGGCTGAACCTCCGGATATGCGCCCAGAGATATGGATTGCGCAGGAGTTGCGACGCATCGGAGATGAATTTAATGCCTCTTACCCAAGGAGGGTAAGGACATGTTTGCTGCCCCTCTTCCCCTCATGCTCCCCACTCCATTCCATACTATAAAAGAAAGAAAAAACAAAGTTAAGAGCTACATACTGATGGTGGACTTGAAGGCATTGCCTACATGTGACCTTCCATTGTTTTGCCTCTACTACTTTCCATTTATTTATGGCTGAATTTAAGTGACGGCTGTTAGGTAAGATACAGTATGAGGCTGCAAAGGTACATCACAAGCAGAGACCGTAAAACATCAGTGCTAAAAGTAGAGGTTATTTATAGACTTTGAAATACTCCCATGTAAATACTACAACCATAGTTCTCAATCCAAATAAAGTGCTTCTGTACTCCCTGTAGGCAGTTTGGGTCAGAGTTACAGAAATTTTAAATGTGCAGTGCTAGCACTAATCTAAAACTCTTGCCATGTACAGCTGTCTGCTGCCCTCCTCTCAGCCCTGCGGTGGTCCTTGCTCATCTATGGATGGGAGTTTCAGGACGCCACTAATCAGCCTGTACTTTGGGGCGTACAACGTTTAAATAAGGATAGTTGACTGCCACATTAACTTTGAGATGCATTCTAGATTCTTACAAGAAAATTCTATCTTCTGTAGATGCAGAGTATTTAAAAAAAAATTTTTTTTGCTTTTGTTTCTTGCCTGGTGAAGTGTAGTGTATGACCATCGGATCCCTTTTCCACATCAGGGTGGGTTGAGTGGCAGGCTTTAACTCTGGGGCCATTACAAGCACAGGTGACTGTCCTCTGAGGGCCATACTAACAGCTGAGGGATCAGAGGTAATTTTGACTTGAGGACATTCTTTCAGATACCTCCTGTGAAGATTTCCCATCTGAAAGGAAGGATGCAATGTCTCAATTTATAGAAAACATTACAGTTGTTAATACCATTCTGTCATTCTGTCACTTCTCTCCTGGCTTTATTTTTTTCTGAAAATTACTGTCTCGTGACAGGTTGTAAGATGCCTTTTCCCTTCCAGAGGGAAGCAGTGCCAGTTGCTCCAAGTCACTCCTGTCGTTCTGGTGGTGTACAGTGCCGAGCCCGTTCAAGCTTCCCCTTGCCAGCGTCCCTCATTCCTTCTATAATAGAGGCTGTGTCAGGGACTCTGGTCCTGCACGTCAGACCCTTTTCCTGTCTTCCCATGGGTTGTGTGTCCCTGTATGTGGTGGGAAGTGTGCTGTAGTCACAGTTCTGTCATCAAACAGGAAGTGTCACATTGATGAATGGGCTGAGGGTATTCTTGTGATACTGTGTGCGGCCGGTGCATGCCTGACATCCTCCCGCCACACGTGGGCTCACAGATCATAAGTACTTGGCAGCCCACATCTGAAATGATGATTTTTTTTTTTTTTGAAGGTTGGTTGATGTTGTAATTCGTCACTAAAGTTATCATATGTTCTCTGCAGTTCTTGGGGTTTCGGTGTCACTGCGTGTGACTAGCCTTGGTTCTCATCAGAAACTGGCCCATGGTGTCTGGAAGGTTGGCCCTCATGCTAAAGCAAGGAGGACATGGGTCCCTTCAGGAAAGCAGGTGGTGACAGTAGAGTCCTGGATCTGGGGCTGTGTCTGGAATCCCCCAGGATGGGTTGGATCATTTCTGAGCCAAGGCAGCCAGCTGCCCGTCATGCTGGGACTGATGCCTGCTGTCTCGAAGGGGCTCTGCTGGTTCCTTGGGACTGGAACTGACTGGGATGGGGCTGCCCAGGAGGAGCCAGGCCAGGCACTGAGTGTCCACTAGCTGCTGGGAGTGCTGCACACAGCCATGCTACATAGCTGCCCTTCTCACAGCCAGGACAGAGCCATTGGCCGCAGAACTGGATGTGTTTAAGGGTGTTTTGAAAAAGTTTCTCTAAACCACAAAGTGTGAACTCACGACTCTACAAGGCCTCCTGAAGGCCTGCCCAGATGGGCCCAGTGAGGCAGGTCCCTGGCAGGGATGAGACATGGGCGAAGATGGCACAGCACTTGGAGCACAGCCCGTCTGTGGGCATCCTCTGACAAAGGCTGTGACCATGCTGGTGCACGGTTTGAAACATGGGAGTTCGTGACCTTATCTCGACATTGAGGTTGAGATGGCAGCATCTGTGTGTGTGTGTGTGTGTGTGTGTGTGTGTGTGTGTGTGTGTGTGTGTGTGTGACTTCCCTCTTCTCCCAGTGTTGTTTCATTGTCTTATTTACTGGGCATATAAGACAGTCCTGTCTGTTTTTTCCCGTGATGTTTTTTCCATGCTTTTATTAAAGTAAATTTATGTTAGGCCTGTTGCACTATTTTGCAAGATTTTGTAATTGTGCATCTTATTTTGCATATCTTAAAAATAATTCAGTGCTAAAAGGCAGTCACTAAGAGAGGACTTTAGCTTTTGTAGCAGGCTGGGATACTGGCAGAAAGGACTAGAAATAGATGCTGGTTATAACATAATTTTTCTAAAATGAGGACAGTCACATTCTCCAGAATGAATATAAATAGCCAATTTAGAGTACGAACCCTGAAGCTCTGGACAGTCCCACAGTGACTTTCAAAGCCAGCAGTGCCTGTCTTGATAGTTGTTAGGTCAGAGCAGCCCAGCATTGGTGATCTCAGTGACATCCATTGCCACACATGGGGAGGAGGACGTGGGGAGCAGACTGCAGTGTCGTGAACTCAGATGGCCTGCCGTCTTTGCGTAGTGCCTGCACCTCTTGGGGAACTGGCACTTGCACTGCTGTGCCCCTCCACAGTGGTTTCAGCCTCTAAATGTTTCCTTCTGTCTGTTTTGGCTGATTCAGAGCCTACTGTAAAGTATTGGTCTTTCCTTGCTGCAAGCCTGACAGGGTGTTCTCCTGTTTTTCCACTTAGAGAAATAGAGGATGTTATTGCATGGTTGTCATGTGCTGATAGGTGGCCTTTGGGGTGTAGCTGTGAGGCAAACCTTTAAGGAGATGAGGGGCACAGGTGAGCACCTGCCCCCATCCCCTCTTTCTCTTTGCTCCTGGTGTTCCCCACTGGCCTGCAGGGAGCTGCCACTGAGCTTCGCTGATGCATGTGTCGATTTTTGCCAACTTGTTATTTTGAAATAACTTCAGGTTTACATCAGTGTTGAAAGAAAGGTACAGAGAACTCTGCTAATCTACCACCTTCAAGTCCCCCGTGTGAAGATGTTGTCACATTTGGTTTAACGATATCCCTCTTGACAAACGTGTATTGTTTCTACATGGTACCCTACTCTTGGTCCTTAATCCTTGAGTGTACATTTCCTAGGAAGAAGTGCGTTCTCTTACATAATCACAGTGTAACTGTCAAAATCAGGAAGTGAATTGTGTTCCAGTAGTGTCATCTGATCTGTAGACTTAAACTATCAGTTGTCCTCAAATGTCCTTTGTATCCTGCCACCAAAAACAAAATTAAAAAGGTATTTTCTGGTCCAAGATCCAATCTAGGGTCATTCCTTGAGTTTTGGTGTCTTGTCTCTTGTTTGATTAATCTAGAACTGTTTCTCAGCCTTCACCCTTGTGACGGTGCCGTGCGTAAAGGGTCTAGGAAACTTTAGACTCAGCAGTTGGTTTGCCTGATACTTCTGCATGATGTGTTGCGGGTTTTGTGCAAGAGCACTGCTGTATGTGTCCCCAGTGCCTCAGCCCAAAAGGCGCATGGTACCCCTCTGTCCCCTTCCTGGTGCTGTTCAAGAGTTGTGTCTTCCACCATAGGGTTAATAGTTTTTCATTTCATGGCTGGCAGCAAAGAGCTTAAAAGGAGGTGCCTTCCTCTCTCCTGTATAATTTGTTTCATTTGCCTTCTTGGGTTGGGTTTGACTGGTCCCAGTTTTTCCCTGGGTTATTATGCATTAGTTACTCTCATCTTAGTGTCTCACTGACCAGGCTTGCATGGCCCTCTGAACTTAAGTAGCTGTGAGACAAAGCTCAGGCATCAGATTTGGTGGGGCCCCAGGAGGCACTGGTCAGTGAATTGACTACACCCACATGGTATGCTGCCCAACTTGGCTCCTTACATTTCCACACTTCAGGATGGAACACATTCACTAGACTTGTGGAGGGTAGGCAGAGGCTATGGAAAGGCTAGGGAACACAAGAATGCCAGAGGGCCTAGAGGAAAGACTAGCTCTCTGCCCTGGAGCTGATGGAGAATGAGCCCCTTGCATTTGGCAGGGTGGTGTGGGGTGATCTATGTGGCAGCAGGGCAGCTGGTGCCTTGAAGCCTGATGAGGATCCTGGGGGCAGGGAGTCTACACAGACAGCCAGGTTTGTCTGTTCAGAAGAGTCCTCACTGGCTCCTCCCGAGACTCAAACTGCACGAGGGCACGTGCTGGTCTGTGCTGCAGGTGACGTCAGCGGGTGTAGGTCATGGCCCTGTGCCAGTGTGAACACCAGCTTTGAAGGCATGGCATCCACTTGGTGGGCATCTTGGCCACAGAGCAGTGAAGAAGTGCTGGGCCCTTCAGAACTTGAAGACTTCTGTCTTTGGCATCACTAGATCTTTCTGCAGCTGTTCTTCGCCCTCCACACTGCTGCAGGGGTCTGTGTCTGGCACCTCACTGTCAGAGAATCCAGCCTAGAGAGGCTGCTGTTGGTGCACAATGCCTTGGGACACTCCAGCGGTAGATGGTTTGGACAGCTCGGAGCAACACTCTGATGGACTCTGCAGATGGGGCAGGAAGTGAATGAAGACTCTCATTATCTGATCACAAGAAACACTGCGTCTTTTGTTTATACTGCCTACTTCCTTCTGTGTCCAGGGCATGTGCAGGCATGAATTGATTGAAGTGCTGCAGACCAAAGTGTAGCCCTGAGTCAGATAAAGTAGAGGGAAGAGGTGGCCTGCAGAGTAGTTTTGATGAAACAGAAGTTTAACGGAAGTATCCATAGTGTCCATGCATTCACATTTTGCTGTGCTCTGACCAACTTGAAATCTTTATGTGCCTGTCCTTCTTGAGAAGGATCCCTGTGCTGCCTGACCCATGGTCTTAGAGACAGTCATCCTCCTTCATGTCTTGTGCAATGGAGAGGCCCAGCTTGGAACTTGCCCAGTGACCACACAAACAGAGGGACCCAGAGATTCGTCCTCACCATTGTTCCTTAAGTGAATATTGGAATTTCATAAAATAAGCTTCTGTCACACTGTGACTGTCTGGGAAAATAATTACTAAAAAGCTATATCAGATATGAAATTCAAATTAGATTGAACTCACAAAATTAAGAGAGGCCCTGACTTTACTCATAGGGGTTTACGGAATGGCACGTTTCACAGCAAAAGCAGTTGTGGGTGCTGGAGCTAAATCTGCACCTGCCATTTGTCATGGCACAGTTGTCAGGTTTTGAAAGCGTTTTCCTTGGACTGGAGGAAACGGTTTGTGCGTCTAGTTTTCAGAGCCATGCATACCTATCTTGGGCCACATCTACCAGTGTCACAGTGCAGTGACACAGAGGGGGTGAGCACTTCAGTTTTTTCCCCCCGAGACTTTTGGGAGAAATTGTGTTCAGGGTCTCAGCAGGGCTTTCTGTGACTTGTTGAGGGCGCATTGTGATCTTACAGGACAGTAGGACTCCTGGGACTAGAAGCTCAGGGACTTTGGGGTCAGACCTTAAACCCTGGCAAAGCCAGGAACTCTGTTTGCCTGTCTGTCTTTTAAATGCTTTGGAACTGCTTTTGAAGCAAGAATTATGCACCTGTGTCCGTCTGATTGTGCACAAATGCTTGAGGATGGGGTATCAGGAGTGTTTCAGTGGCTGGCTGGTGTCAGGTTGGGTACACTGGTGTTGGTCCCCACCATGTGTGAGGCCCATCCACCTGGCGGGTGCTGCACATGCAGGCTGCTTGGCCATTAACATATGGCCAGAAGGAGATGCAGGTGCCTGGAGGGGACTTTAGGGAGGTCTAAAAGGGTGATTTTTTTTTTAATCTCTGGAGGAGGAAATGAAGATGCACAGAGGAAGGCTTGGCCCTTCTGCAGACGTATAAAAATAATAAGCCTCTTGCATCACCCTTTGCTAGACTTCTACCAGCTGAACCAGGGCAGAGAGGTTTTAGTTGTGGTTAAAGCACGTTACATCTCACTTAGCATTTTTCTGAGGCTGGGGCATTTCAGAACAGAGTGTTCCTGTTCCACAACTACTATTTCAACCAGGGGCTGGAAGAGCAGTCTCTAGCTCTTCAGTGGCCAGCCACAGACTTCAAACACAGTGCTCAGGAGTTGACCACCCCAGCCAGCACCAGCCCCAGGTACTGGGGTCCAGAAACTAAAGACCCCCCAAGTAGAGGTGTGTGTTGGGCTGCGGGAAAAATATCAGGTGAACACAGCTCCAACTGGGAGTGAACTTGAGAAGTGATTTTTAGTGCCACAGAAATATTGTTTCATTGAAATAGTGCATTGAAAATAGGATAAAGATTTGCTTCATGGAAATACAGTTTTTGTGTGACTTTTGAAAACCACGTTGTCACCATACCAGCATGGCTGCAGCTCTGTTCACCTGCAGTCTTGGTCTGCACCACCTCAGACACATACAAACACACACACTCACACACTTCTGTGTGACATCTAAGGTGTTAGGCAGAAGCTATGTAAATGAAATGTCCTTGTTGCCATGGTGATAAATAGACATTGAGTTTGGTCTTTGGGTGATGTCTGTCCAACCTGACAAGAGCAGTGGGCATTGAACCAGGTCTGCAATTTGAGCCAAGCTCCTGGACTTCAGTTCTTGGTGTGACAGCAGAGAGAAGGCCCATGTGCTAGCTGCTTGCTGGCCCTTCCACCTGACCTTCGTCCCACTTGGCTGCTGTGTAAATAAACATTGCTGGCCTGTGAGGTGTGAACACCCACTGAGTGGCAGGGCAGTTCTGACCTGGGAGCACCGGCACGGCCCTTGGGGTTCTCCAGCCCTGGATGCTCATCTTGAGCACTGGAGAGGCAGACATCGCCTTCTCATCGCCTGGATCTAGAGCAGATTCCCTACATCAGAGTCCTCCACAGCCTAGAATCCAGTTTCCTGTATCATTACTGCTTCTTGTTAATAAATCTACTTAGGGAAACAAAGCTAGCACATCTTAGGCATTTCGGGTTGAAATGGTAAGAAACAAGTTCTGGAACAAGTTATATTTCTCTTCACCTGAGTTGTGTTAAGTATCCCCACGTGAGACTTTTTTATTTACTTCTGAGAATTTGGACTTGAACTGGCTTTGATAGGATGATGGAGATACTTGACCTTGCGCTTACGAGGCAGGCGCAGTGCCACTGAGCTAAATCCCCGGCCCTGTCATGTTTCCTTTGTCTCTTTGATTGCCAGGAGACTCATACCTACCCTGCATTTCCATTACTATAAATCTCACCCTTGGCACTTACCATGAGTCTCTCCTTGATGTGATTTCTGATCTCTCTTAACCTCTGTTTCTTTCATTCTGTGCACATCTTTTCACTGAACGCTCCCCCCCCATATCAAATGTTGCTTGAGTTTTGGCCCTGCTCTTGGAGCCTGGATTTGTGGGCTTGTCACCTACACTGGCTGAAGTCTGAGCTGAGTTACTGGAGTCACTTGCTGAATCCCCCCCTCTCCCTTCACAAACAAAGCCTGAGACCTCTTTTCAGTCTGAAGCAGGGCTTCCTTCCTCTCAAAGGGCTCCAGGGTTTGGGGGCAGGGGGGACTCAGCTCTTATTCAGACATGCTGATACCCATGTCATCTTTCTATTCTGGGAGTTTGGGTGTGGGTCTTGGTGGTGGGTGTCTTCCTGACAGGGAGGAGTGTGGACTTTGGGGTACATGTCCTGGCCCTGCCACCTCCAGCCAGTCACGGAGTGGAGAGTGCTACACTTGCTTATGGGGTTGTTTGGAAGACTCAGAAGCATCTGCCAAGTCATTTCATTTAGCAGTGGCAGTGGGTGGTTCTTCGTCCCAACAGTTGGTCACCCAGGATCTGAAGGACTGGTCTGTGTACTGGAGGCCAAGCTCATTTCCCTCTGTAGGAGAAGGAAGCTGAAGCCAAACCCGGAGCTGTAGCTGGCAGGGGGCTGGTGTCCACCTGGTCAGCTCCCTTGGGCAACCTAGAGTCAAGTTCCTGTTTGTTTCCCAAACCCTGCTTCCCTGGATGGAGCAAGAAAGCATTGTTTTGCTGTAAATGTCATACTTGATTGTCCCATGTGTGACTTGAAGATGGTTCTAGAGTGTGGGCTGCAGTTGTGGCTGGTGGTTGTGTCCAGTCGTCCTGCCCATGGCGTGTCTGGGGCATTCACGCTGCTGTTCCTCACTGGACTGACTGCTCCCCCCCAGGCAGTGAGCTTGAACCCTGCTCTCAGGCATTCCCTTGGCCTATCCCCTGTCCCAGTGGCCACCCAGATCTGTGTCACCTGCATCATGTGGTCTTGCAGGGTTCTGTCTGAGAATCATTTCACACCTTAAGAGCAGAGTGCCCAGGCCTGCCCCGTAGGGACCTGGAGACTTAAGTCCTATGTCGCACCACTGGGGGGACTAATCCGAGGGGGACAGTCCTACAGCTCAGTGTCCTCATTCATCCTGGTTTATTATGAGAAGTCAAATCCTTTCTTACTTACTGTATGCACTCAGCTGGCCATGCTTCTCCCTTAGGGTCCAGGAAGGGATTAACTCTGGTGCCTTCCTGCCCAGCTTTAGGTTTTATAGCAGCAATAGAATTAATCATTATAAGCCACTACTTAAAAAACAAATACCCTAATAAATTATTTAATTTCTCAAACATGTTAGGATACTTTACCCTCACAGCCCACCGACTTCTACCTTCCAAAAAATTGGCAGTCAGCCAGAACTTGGCACTTCACCACCTCCCCCGGCAAACACTCTCTATCATCTCATTTACCTCTGTATTGTCCCTGTCATATAATCTAGTTTATTATCTTGTGCTGGCGACACAGGGATCGAGGCAGGCCGGGTAGATACAAAGATGCATGCTGTGAAACCAGCCTGCTATGATCAGGCATCCTTTGGGGACTTGGTGGGGAGCTGGGCCATCAGGACTCCTGGAGAGAAACACAAAGCTGTGGCCGTGGGCGCCTCTGTGAGAGTCGGGTGCCCCAAATGACTCGTCCCTTGTATAGCTCCTAATTTAGACACAGAGACAAAATCTCCCAGCAGGAAGGGGCACTGCTCTGAGGCACTTGGGACTAGGTGGTGTGTGTGCAGGGAGGGAGGAAGCTGCTGTACATGGGCATTTAAGTTGTTTATACTTAGTAGCAGATTTGTTTTTTTTTTTAAAGTAACCCCTTTACCCAAATGCATCATTGTAACAGACCTCTTAATTTTTTGGACAATTTTGACTAAAACAGGTTCCTGAGTCTGACCTAAGAATATCATTTTCACATAAACGGTGATGGAGAATGACAGGTTTGCTAGGGCAGCCGTAGCACAGTGCCAGAGTGGGGTAGTTGACACAGCAGAAACCTGCCCCTCAAAGTTCCAGGCACCCGAGGCCCCTCACAGTTCTCGACCTCTAGATGGCCACCTTCTCCCTGTGTCCTGGCTCGGTCATCCCTGTCCTGGCTCCTCCTGTGTGGACACCTGTTCTAGGGCTCATCCTAGTCCCATTACTGAGGCCATCTCCTGTCCAGCCACATTCTTAGGTCCTAGGGTCGGACTGCAGCATGTGAATTTGGGGACACAGTTCAGCCCACACTGAGGGAACCAGAAGTGTCCAGAGGGGGCTGGAACTTCTTAGTTTTTTTCAGTACAGTTCTTTCTGTACTGTTAATCAGGAAAGGTAGTGCCCAGCATAGTTGTGGTGGATTGTGAATTTGCCCTTGGTCCCCAGATGCCCTTTGGAGCTGAGTGAGAGAGTGTGGGCAGAAACCAGGTTCCGGCACTGCTGCCCCCCCATGATTCCTTTCTCCTGTCCTTGTGCCACAGCACCTGAAGGGCCCCCACATGCCGGCTCAGTGTCTGGTTGGTCTCACCCACACACTGGCATTCATTCCTGATCCCCACCACTCGGATTGTCATCCAAAGGCCCGATTCCACATTCTGTCTTGGATGTATTGTCCTGCCCAGAACCTCAGGGTCTGTGCTACTTTGAGCTCACCCTTCACCCTTTGGGTCACCCAAAACCAAAGACCCGGGTGCAGCCACAGTTGCTGCGGCTCTGAGCCAGCTGCTGCTGTTGGCCACCTGCAGAACTACATGGTTCCTCTTCCTAACCTGGCTGCAGCTCTGGGGCCGGGAGCCCCCATCCTCCAGCTATTCTCCACAGTGAGGGCCTCATGCTCTGGGCCAAAGCAGCTTCGGCCTCTGCGCCAGCTGTCAGGGCTTTCTGGGCTGGCACAGCCCTTGGGAGTCATTGCTAACAGCTTCCTCCATTGAATGTTGTCCAAGGCAGCGGTTCACTTGCACAGAGCGCACCTCGTCCTGTTGTCCCACCCACTATCTGAGAGGAGACACAGCATTGTCTCCTCTCTCCTCAGGGCCAGCCTTTTCCTCTGCTGAGAGCTCCTGGGTCCCCTACCCCTGTGTCCTCCAAAGACAGTGGGAGATTTCTCCCCTGGACACTGCCAAATATGAGCAGCTGGGGTCTGCCGCAGGCAACCTGGCCCCTAGATGTGTTATGCTGACCATGGACACAGCAGCCTCACTCTGGGGACACTGGGGCCAGTGAGGACACCGGGCTGGCCTGAGACTTTCCTCCGTGGATGTCTGTCACAGCATGCACTTTCTTCATTTTAGTAAGTTGTGGTTTATTTTGAATAAGCCTCTTTCAGCCTATTAATATTAGTCTACACCAAAATTAACCTTCCCCTCAATTTTTCTCACACAAGAAGGAGCAAAGTAATTTTGAAAGTTAAATCAAAACAAAGCAATCTTGTGTGTAAAGCTGATAAAAATCGCAGACTGTGGTTACGGAGCGCCTCCACAGGAATCGCTGACATAAAGCCGATTTCCTCCCGCCTTGTTATGGAAGGAAAAGGGGAAATGCCCTGGCCTTATCACCGTCCCGCCGTGTTGCTTGAGAGCTTGTGTAAACAGTGGCGAGGGGGAGCTCTACACAGCTGTTGTGTCTGGGGGGATGTTTTGGGGCAGATCGGGGATGGCAGCATCCCAGCCTGATTCATGGCCAGTGGTTCCCAAGTCTATACCTTGGAAGCATTTCCCGCCTGAGCAGAAAGGGGCTTTCGGAGGGCTGTGCAGTCACGCAGCTGCTCGCAAGTGCAGCTTAGTCTCGAGGGAAATGGCCAGGGCTGAATTCAGATGTTCAGGTGAACCGAGCTGTCGCTCATGGCGTGGAGAGGGGTCGAAGCAGGTGTCTTCTGTTACCTTCTTTGCTGCTCTTAATTTACACTTTGTACTTAACCTGCAGAGTAGACTAGAACCCAGAGGTGGTCTCTCTGGAAGACCTGAGGATCTGAAACCTTCAAATAATCTGGTGATTTCCTTCTGAGCAGTTTCTTGGCTTGTAACACATGTAAGGTGGTCGCCAGTGAAGAAGCACCTGCTTGCTCTCAGCTGCTCTTTCCTCCTCAGACATGGTGGGCAGGGGTGACTCAGCCTTGTGTCTGTGCCGTGGGCACCCTGCCGGGTCACAGCATTTACCCAGCACAGTGGCCCTGAGCACATCGAAGCACCACTTTACTTAGCTTCTTAGGGCAAATTACCCCAAATCACTGGTTTCTTAAATAAATTACAGCTACCAGAAGTTTACCCTTGAGGGAGTCTGAAACATATTTGAATGTCAGTGAGTGTGACTAGTGAGAGCCTTCACCCCTGCCAAGTCTTTCTCTCCTCTCCTGTGTCCCTGCCTCTTCTCTTGAGACACCAGATCTGTGACTGACAATGCCTTTTGCCCCACACCTGTATAAACACTAGAGTATTGAGGTCCATGGATCCTCTGGAGTTTTTTGAATGTTCCTTTGGTTGCTTTTTTTCCTGTTCACAGAAGAAAACCCCTTGTTGGGGCTGCCCTTCACACCTTCACTTTGCAGGAAAATCGGAATGTGTTCCTCGGACAATCATGGGGAGAAATTGGTGCTCCAGGGACACAGGAAGGCCTCCCATGGCCATCAAGATGCCATAGTTGCTTACTTCAATATGGGAGCCCACCTCCCCCCACCAAAGAAAATTAGGGAAGAACTAACGAGCTTTGCTTTTATTGTTTCAGGTATTTTTGAATAATTACCAACCGGCCGAGGACCACCCCCAAATGGTTATCTTGCGACTATTACGCTACATTGTCCGCCTCGTGTGGAGAATGCACTGATAGGGTCCTCGCGGAGCCAAGATACCTGCAGACATTTCCCCTGTTCCAGTGGACAGACCCAGCCTATGGGCTCTTGGCACCACTGCTACGCTGCCGCTGCCTGAGGTTCTTTCCCTAGAGGCATGCAGACGGTGGCGGGTAACCCTGTGCCACACGTGAACTTGACCTTTCTTTCTGTTCATCGCCACATGGCCACACGGCAAAATTTCCAATGGAGGTTTGTTGTGAATGTAAATGAGGGAGAATTTTTCTTACTTTTTTAAATGTACAAATCATGGTTCCTTGGATTAGGATTATATTCAAGAATGGTGTTTACATGCCGTGTGTGGATGTGAGTTTTTTTCCACCTTCTTTAATAACAGGTTTTTTCAGAAAGGAAATGGAAACTTTTTAACCAGCTCGTGAATGATTTTTGTACTAAAATTTTAAGAACCTCAGAGGATTGTGTAATCCTAGCAGTGGAAACTGAGCCAGCTAATTTATAAAGCTGACTTAGTTTATTTTTAGATTACAGAGTTTTTAAACAGGGAGAGAGGTATGATCCTTTGCCCTCCCTTCCTTGCCGTTGCCTCTTTGAACGTTTTTGTAATTATTAATACCAAAAGAGTTCTTACAAAATGGAACTGATTAAAGGGGCAGAGGGTATACCACTCCCATCTTGTAAATATTTATTTACCTCCTTACACTCAGTTTTATTGGTGGCAAAATTTCAGATGGCTTTTCAAGTCTTTCCTGATCCCCTTTCGTGATGCCTGTACAGCCTGTCTGGATGCTGGTGCACAGACCAGCTCCACGAGGTGTCATTGGGTCAGAACCAGACTTAGCAGGTGCCTGTGTCTTCCTGGCTCATCCATCTGTGTGTCACTAGCAGACTGATGGGGTTATGTTCTGTGTGGGCTGCACTTGTCATTTAGATGTTGGTAGTAGTGACAGCAGTGATGACAGGAGACGGAGCCTGAACCCCTCGCGTGCCTGGGTCACGAGTCACGCCCTGCATCCAGTCCCAGATGGCACCTGTGCCCACCTCACGGGATGGACATCCGATGGCCAATTTCCAGGCACCTTGGCTTTTAGTCCAGCCCACATCCCTGGCCTGTAATACCTGCACTTGGTCCTCTATTCTCAGCTCACTCTGAAGTAGACAGTTAATCCTACCCTCACCAGTACCATAGAATACTCTACTAGGCAGAGTCTGAAATGTCCCTTCAGCCTTTGCTTTTCTGATTCTCGTAGGACGGTTGGATCTTATCGGGCCACCCATGCCTCCATCTACCTTCCCCTAGGATTGGGCACAGCCAGCCCACACATCCGTCAGTCATTTCAAAAGCCAGCAGGCAAGGGAGTGGCCTGGGGCAGAAGGCCCTGGGTTCAGACACACAACAAAAGAACAATCAGACAGGCACTGAAGTGACCCGAGAAAGACACAGGTGAGGGAGTGGGAAAGGGGAGGGGAGGAGTCTGAACTCTGTAACTCTGATGATTTTTGAATA